GTAAAAATGACGACGTTACTTATTTCCAGTATAAGTAGTGTATGAACTTATCCGAATTGCTTGAATAGGTAAAAGTGGTTTAATGACTTGTAATCGAGATTCCAAAAACAATGAGGTTTTATTAGGTTGTTTAGTGGACTTTCATTTCGTATGAAAGTGCATGAAGAAGAGGACGACTTTCAGGTTGACGCAGTCCACTGGACCTCCTCCCTGGTTTCAGGTGAAAATGGGCTGATCTTTCGTGCATCATATACTCGACATCATCAGAGTTGGATCTCGTACCTGTAAAAATCTCACGCATTATTGCATTTCGCATAGTCTTGCTTGCCAAAAATGCTTTCTTATCTCACAGAGTACTGCAGCGAATTAATGATATCCTCGAGCACTACTTATTTCCTAAATAAGTAGGCTAGTCTAATCGACAATTCTGATGTATAAATGCGATTTTTGTTAGGTCTAGCTTGCATTTAATATTGAATCCTACTTGATATCCTTTAGCTGAACCCAGTTTAGAAGCAAGCACCTATTTACTGGCGCACATGACTTCTGCCCAGTTATGTTGTACAATAACTGTGCTCCTCAATTGAGATCGTTTTGTTTAGAATATGCTATCTTCATTACACGACCGATACAGCTCGGCATAAATCGGATTCGTCATAGCGCTCAGAATATTGCGTTGCATGTTTTGTATATTATCAAATTTCCACTTCCAATCCGCCCGGGCGTCAGATGTGCTCAAGGCCGAGTTGCCAGTCGGCTCCAGGTCTCGCGGGTCTCGAGCCAGGACCCTCTCGGCCAATCGATCATTCGGTCAAGATCTGCGTCGCCTCGCCGACGGGCCGAAAACAGGGCCCCGCCGCCATGCAGCCGGACTCGACTACCGCTGTCCTCCAGAGTCCTTCCATCACGCCCACCCCCTCACCGGTACTCGCTCCTCGAGCCCACGACCATGCGACGCCGGTCCGAGGCGCTGAGGCGTCTGGACTGCAAAAGCGGCACTCGGTCGAGGCGTCAATCTCGGTCTTAAGTGGCCCCAGAGAAGCCCATCTCACCAGCCTACAGTCGGAGTGAAACTTCATCTTCGTCCTTGTCTCCAACACTTCGGATTGATTGAGCATCTTTCTTCAGAATTCCATGTGCTCTTTCTCCTTTATTTTATCCACCCTTTTTTGGACTCCTTTTTCCTCTTTTTCTCATTCTTGCTCATACTCTTTCAACATGTTTGATCTCCTCTTTCATCTATCCTCCATTATATGCTTCCCCTATTCTTTGCTCTTCCTTATCTTCCTTCCTTTCTTTTTTTTATTCTTTTGCTTTCATTCCTTTCATTTCTGCATCTTTCCGATCTAGAAACTCTTCTTCCTGCGATACTTCATTTATCTCTTTTTTCTCCTCTTCTTCCTTTTCCTCCTCTAACGCATTTTCATTTCTTTTCTCTCCGCCCTGTCGACTCCTTTTTTATCTTTTTACTTTACCCACTACTTGCATACTTGTCAGTAGTTTGCTGTTTGTAAACTATGTTGTCCCACTTCTCCTGCGAGGTGGAACCTCTTTTTCTTCATCTACACGAGCTGGCCCACTTGCCTGCTTTGTCTGCAATCGTCACCTCACCGTATGCCTACGTTTTATTTTCCCCTACGCTTTGCTATCCTTACTTTGCTTGAAAATTCAGAGAGAAGACGGTGCAGACAAACCGAGCACCTGCATGAAAGGTTTCAATTGGACGAAAAAATTCGGTTTGTACCAAATTGTTTGTAGGAATCCCTCTCAATTGGGCGTAATTGTGATCACCGGCCACTTTCTCTGCTCTCATCGGATCATTTCGTTTTAGCTTTGACCTTGTCAGTTTATTTTATTGAAATTATTGCGCCTTCATTTTTATCTGCACATCAGACGCTTTGCGGTCTCGTTTGCACTCTTCCACGGTGCAGTCGCCCTTGCGCTGATGCAAAAATAGGCGCCTCGTCGGAAGGAACTCAGCCCAGAAGACCTTTCAGAGTTGAAGCATTGAAGCTCTCGTCAGTCACTCTGCGTGTGATACACATTTATTCCTGCCATACGAAAATGCATTTATCAAACGCAGACACCAATTGCCTCTTCCTCACTTACCTCTTCCTCCTCCTTCTCCTCCTC